AATATCAGAATCATCCTGATATTTGCCCACAAAATACTCACTTTTCAGTGAATCCTGGGAAGCACTTTGGGACATCCTCCCAAACGTACCAAATGTAAGGATTAGGATTATTATTATCATGCATGAACTGTAATCAAATTTCTTGATCAGCAGAAGGATCTTTCCTCTTCTCCACCTGTTATATTTTATCTATTGGACTCAGGACTTGTGTTTTCTGCACATCATCATTCACAATTTCCCCACTGGCTGTTAATAGTATGATTACAGTTCAGGCTCAATTTTTTGTCACTTTGGACTCAGCAATGAGGAGCAATAACAGAGGCAGGCCTGAGAGTGCTGCACTTTATTATTTAGCACTCCTCATCAACACAGCTGAAGGAAGTTCTGACTACAGTGAAAAAGGATGCCAGGCTAAAATTACTCCACATTTGGGAGCTAGAAATTAATGAAACCAATGTGCTGCTGGGCCAAACCTCCTTGCCTCCCTTTTCACAGGAAGTGTACACTTTATCCAGTGGTAAAACACCAAGGGACTGACAGCAATGTATCACTTTCAATTTCAGACATGAGAAATATCTGACAAGGCACTGGTAACAGTGACCATTAACACTGGACGAGAGAGACCTTCTCAGTCACCCATAGGAAATTTAGACCAAAAATTGCTGCACTTCTTCATCCAACTGTTCAAACCATGAATATTGCAAAATATGTGATGAATATTTCTCTGTAAAGAGAACTTTTTTAGGTCAGTCTGACATACAAATAATAATAACAACAATAATAATTAGAAACTACCTCTACAGATTGATTTAAACTGTTATAAAACAATGATAATAATAATATCCTCACATTTGATATAGCTCCTTTCACATCTAGATGATGTCTGAAAGCACTTCACAGGATTTTATTGTAAAGTGTGTGTTTTTGTGAGTGAACATGACAGCCAACTTGTGCACAGCAATGTTCCACAAACTGCCATGAAAGGAATGACCAGTTTTATTTGGAGAATTGTTGGACAGAACACTGGGAGAAAGTCTCTTCTCTTTTTGAATAGTGCCTTGGGATCTTTAACATCCACCTGAATAGGCAGACAAGACCTTGGTTTAATGTCTCCTCTGAAGATGCCCCTTGTCTCTGTTTCAGCCTCCAGTTCCAGCAACTGGGACATTTTTTTATGAGTTCTGGAATGTCCAATCTCTTTCCTCTTCTGTCTGGGGCATATGGACACATGCCATATGCATGAAGAACACAGTTACATAGTGCACTTTGGATGCACTGGGGCATTAAACCAACTAAAACAAGTAGCATCAATGATCAGTAGAGTACTGATTAGATGTTGACGAGGGTGACACATTACTTTTGATCTAGATTTCAATTTGCCATTTTTTCCTTTCAGTTAAGCTGGACACAGAAATTTTCATTTTATTGTGTTTGTACTGCTGCCATTGCTGTTTGTTTTTGAAATGGCCCTCTTTGTGAATCCAATTTTCCAGTTCATTCCCTATATCCTTTTGGATGTCTACTGCTCAGATACTTATTCCATTTCCTTTTAAACGATTCGAAAGATCCAGCCTCAACAACAAATTGTGCTAATCAATACCACACCTCAGAGTGGATGTACTGCTCCTTATATCTCTTCTGATTCTCCTGCTCATATTCCTGAGGCTAAGTCCCCTTTTTACTGGTTCCTCAACCAAAATAAATTGTTTTCAATACTTTTTCACTACCTTTGCCGCATGGTCCTCTATTCCTATCTCATATGCAGGATCATCCTTGTGAATCTGAGGTTCACCTCCCCCACCTCAAGGATGTCCTTCCTCTAACACAGAGTGAAAAAATGAACAAAATAATCCAACTGTTTCCTTTCCAAATTGACTTCCCGATATTCCATATCCCTTCTCAGATATTCCAGAACTCCATTCATCTTTTCCATACCTTTTGTAGTGAAGCACACGCAAAGAACCCCAAATCTCTGCTTCTCAACCTAGTTGAGTGTTGTCCCCATTAAGCCAGAGTTTCAATGTCGATTATTTTTTTCCTGAAATATAAAATCTTACATCGATCAACATTAAGATGCATCTCTGCCAAATGTCCAATGATTTCTATCAACATTGTTCTGAAGTTTTACAGATGGATATAGATTATGATTTGTTAATTTGTTTATGATTGTTCAATCTTAATTATTTTACAGATAAATCCAAGAAATGGAAAGACTTAAATTGTGAGAAGAAGCTCCGTTATATTTGTAGCTATAAATCCCAAACCACCCTAATTTGAATTAATGCACAATTGTTTTTCCTGGTGAGAATTTCTGACTTGATTTGCAACATAGCTGCATCACTGTGACTGTGATGTTTGCAACAACTTAGTGGCTGAAGAATAATAAAGACAATTGCTCAGCTATTTGATCGTTGCTCGTTTGTTTTTTGTTTTTGTGCCTGATTGCAATCACAGGCCTCACCTTCCACCATTTGATGAAACTTCTGCAAGATCTAACCTGAAAACAATTCACTTACATTGAAGTTTCAAGTTGTGTCAGAAGCAGGCACGGCCGCAATGGACTGAGCAATGAGCAATTGGTGTTCAGGTGGAACTGTGCTGGTATTTTCATTTGGAAATAAAATGGAGTATATAATATAAATGTCTATGGCCGGAAGGTCTGTGTGAGCCAATATCAACATTAAAAAGCAAGTTGAGAAATGTATTTTGGATATGAAATTTACTCATCATAAGAATACAGAACAGCAACACCCTTCCTCAGCTTCAGGTGCCTTAAAGTTTGGTTTTTTTTGGTCAGCAGGGGGCAACATGCGGAACCCCATAGCCATGCTAAAAAATATCCAAACCAAACTGAGAATTCCATGCATCCCACATAGACATGAAAATTTGTGTGATAGATTGTTGGAATGGAATGCTCACTCTCTTCCTGGAGGGATGATGTATCCTGCTTACGTAAATCCGGAAAGTATTAGGCGCAGGTTGTCAGGAGCCAAGGTTTGGGGTACTACTGGAGTTGAATCAGTTGTAAATGTGTAGCTTGCCATTCAAAACACTGTCTGGCAAGCTTTCTTGATGCTTGACCAGCTTGAACCACCCTTCCTGTTAGGGCTTTGGCTTGCATGGTTAACAGGAGCTGAGTAGGAGGATCTCCTGCCCCCAGTGACTGGTTTGCCCTTCCAAGTCCTGCCAATGAGCCATAAGGATAAGGAGGATAAGAAAAGTTATTTTTTGTCTGAGAGGACCAGAAGAACAACACAACACTTCTTTAAAATAGCAAACATCAAGGTGGTTCACTTTCCTGCCACCTCAGTCAAAAACAGATGGAACCTAAAATCAATAATACAGCAAAGGTTGAGATGATCATCTGAAAATAAGTAAATATATACATATTTTTAATCCAAGGTCTCCAATTGGTCAATTGCTGTCTGACCAGAGCATTGTATGGCCTGTGTATGAAGTCTGGGGATCTAAACTCAACTGATTTTTGGTCATTGGGCCAGAAGGGGTTGACCCAGGCCAAAGAAACTGTAAAGGAGTGCATCAAGGCTTTGATCCCCAGGCTTAGAGGAATAAGCTGTGAGCAAGGATTAGACAAGTTAAAGCTCTTCAGTCTAGAGACAACTCAGAAAGGAGACTTCATTGGAGGTGTATAAACATTTAAATGAGATTGAAAAAGCAAACCCAGATTAATACTTCAGGATGCACTAAGCAGAATAAGAATACATGGGTTTGGAGTTGTAAAGGGCAATTTCAGGATAGAAACCAGGTGGTTTTGCTTTCCTAAGTGGGTAATGTATAACTGGGACAGAAGAGAAGAACAAGGCTAGGATGCTGGTCTCAAACAGCTTGATGCTGTGATAGGGCGACCATAGGCAACCATCTGATTGGGTAGATCAGATTTAAGATTAGATGGGGCAAAGGGTGGGTCTTCTTCATCAAACCCAATCTTATGATCTTGTGAATGCAGCAGAGGGGTAAGCTTTTCAAGACATTACACCTCATGAAGGGAGCAAAATAAATGTAAGCTGTTCTTGTTTTCTCGGACTCATTTATGAAGTCCAGGATCAAGCAGTGAGGTAGGGAAGCAGCCACAGTTGGGGCTGCAGAGTGGGAGGGTTCATGCAGGTGATGAAGGTTGGGATTGTTGTAGATGTAAACAGGTTGATCTAGGTTTGTGAGGCTGCAGCACAAATGGAAAGTTCCAGTTACCATGTGAACACAGTGATATTCGGGTGCCTCTGGTCTATCAGAGTCTATCAGAGTCCCAGCTCCAGTGTGGGGATCAAAACAATAATCCTGATGGTGGCTGGTGGTTGGAGGCACAAATGGGAGTCCAACCTTTGCTCTGGCTTCTGAAAATGAAGTCAGAAGCTGTCAAACTGATGGAGCCAATGTTCAGACCAAGGAGAGTGTCACTGGGGTCAAATAACTTTCCCAATTCATTGTCTGTGTGTGTGTACAGCTTGTTATGAAGGATTGGATTGAAGACTAAGTGGATGGCCTCGGCCTCGCGAGATGTTCTTTGCTGCTACAGATAGATACAATGTGACACACTGCACTGGGGTGTGATGTGCTCTGAACTTTTATTTTAATGTTTGCGTTGACTGAGCTGCTTGTCTATCCTCACTGGCAAAATATTAAAATGTGAGTTTACTTGACATCTTGATCTCAGGAGGAAATAATGTGATGAGCCAATCGTTGGCTGGTGTTAGTCACTGGTTTGGACAATGGAGAATGACCTGTGACTATATGGATTCCAAGCCCTGATGTGTAGTTTGAACCTAAACTGTTTCACCCAGTGGCAAGAGTGCTACCAAATGAGCCAGGCTGATCCACCACATATCATTCATTCAGGCAAAATATGCACTCATTCTCAATATCCATGTTTCCTCATTATAATTTCGATCCCGTAATGTCATGACATCAGAGATGCCTATTGAGGTTACAAAATCAGTCAAGACACATCAAGTCAAAAAATATCAAACACACAACAAATTATTGATCAAGCGTTTTTATTATTTGCTGGCAACTAAGTCAATACAATCACCACACTCACTGCAATTATGAAGCAAATCAATACAGAGAATCAATCATTTCATCAAAAGGAATTATTAGGCTGTGAACAACACCTATTTTGTTGGTTTGTAGGAACAAATAAAGGGTAGTTTGGTTTTGCATGCCATATGCTTCCATTCACTGGACACTGTAAATAAGATAGAAAGATCTTGCAAGTCACACTCAATGAATGAATGAAGGAAAAAAAACTGACTTCACCTAGTTTTATCTGAAGAAATGCAACAAGGAGTTGATCTAAAATTTATAGAACATTGCAAAAACACAGTTTAATGACAACGAAGATAACTTGCATTTATATAGGGCCTTCATGCACTGCACCCTACCTCTGTCACATCCTTCAACAATCCTATTCTGACTGCTCCCCCTCAACTCGCTCCCCTCCACTGTCTGTGGACAAACTTTCAGTAATTTTACGCCCATTTTCTGGAACTCGATCTTGGAGTCCCTCCAACTCACTTCCTCTCTCCCCTTGTTTAAGGCACAACTCAAGACCTACCTGTATGACTGCACTTTTTGTCAAACAGCTTTTAATTGTGTTTCCTATTCTTACTTTGTCTTTGTAGAATGTTGCATTTTTCTGTATTAAACTTAATTTGACAGTTATCAGCCCATGCGCACATTCTATCAAGCTCTATTTATAAGACCTTTGCTGTGAGCTCAGATTCCACGGTTCCTCCCAACTTCTGCAATTCCGCAAATGTAATTTCCTTGCACTGAGTTTGTGAATGCAAGTCATTAATATAAACAAGTAGCAAGAGGGGATTGTTGACCAGGGAAACGCCTTACTCTTTTTGAATAGTGCCGTGGGATCTCATGGGGTCTCAATTTAATATCTTATCTGAAGTACAGCATCTTCAACAATGCAGTCTCCTCTGAAGGATGGCACCTCCAAAATGGAGTGCACTACATCACTGCATTGGAGTGTCAGCCTGGACTGTGAGATCAGGATGGGATGTTTCCATATCAGACCAAAAGTTCTGTCCTGTGATTGCCTCCTCTTCCCTCCAGAAATCCAGTTCCAATTTTAATATCCTGACATATCCTAAAGTAATCAAGCAGATTTGTTACTGTTCGTACAAACCTCTTTATAAACAGTTCAGATCCTATAGTACAAATATCTCAGGAATATATCTGTGGATCCAGAAATAACACATAGGAAAAGTCTACTTACACAGAATAAAAGTCACGCAGACCACTCTATTTTCAGGAGAAGATGAGGTCGTTGGCAATTTACCAAATGCATAATTAGTTTTGTCACTCCATGTATACTTCTCCTGTGTGTAATAATGTCATTACTTTATTCCTGTCTTTGTAGTAATAATAATAATCCTGGCATTTGATTTAGCACCTTATCAAGTCTTCGAGACGACTCAATGCGCTTCACAGAATATACTGAAAAGTGAATTGACTGTATATTTTGTGGGTGAAAAGCAGTAGCCAATTGCACACAGCAGTGTCCCACAAACTGATTGAATGACCAATTTATTATTAACTTTTTGAAGGAATTATTACCTCGTAAAAGCAATCCACCAATCAACTAACAGCCAGGTTCCTACTTACTGCTAGTTTCATTGAGTGTGAGGTATAGGCCAGGGAGGTTAAGGAGGTCATAGATGAGAAGATATTAATTGAAATGGAGAAAAAGAAAGAGGCAGAGGATAGAGCTATGGAAAGAGAAGCTAGTTGAAAAGCTGAAGCGTGACAAACATACAGAATTATGCAACTGACAAACGCAATTAGGGTAGCAAATTGTAAATCAATCAAACTTACTTCCTTTCGATCCTTCAATCCAATCCAAAATTGTTTAGTTTTTGATTTCAACCCATTCACCATTTTAGCAAGAAACGCATTTTGTTCATTGTTGTGGATGGAGGCAAGGTGACTAGTTCTCTCCATTCGTTTACAGGTAGTCTTTAAATAAAAAGGAAATTGTTGCAGAGATTTATCATTTCCATTATGTCACTCTTGTACTTTAAATGAAGGCAAAGGTTATAATAAGACTTGAAGTCATCTCACAATTGTGGAGCTCACAATCATCACTGGGCAGCAAGTCAGCCTGAGCAGGTGCACACACACCGTTCCATAGTCTTTGACCGAGTTCCACCTCCTCAGTCACTCAGCTCCTCAATAATGCACCCGAGAGTGTGAAATTGTAGAAAAATCTTTTATAACTAGAAATAATTTTATGCCTTTTAAATCAACCATTAGATGAACAAAAGCAAGTCCTGGGAAACTCAGACTTCGCAATACCGCTGCATCCTTATCTGGACATTCCACAGAAGCAGAGAAGCAGTAACAAGCAGTAACTTCTGCAACTTTGAAATGAATAAGACATTGACTGACACAAACACCATCTGGAGATAAGCTTATGCCTCAAATGTCCCTGAATCCTCCCCTACCTGAGCTCCCTTCCCTCATTATTTTTTACCTTGTGTTATAAATGTAAAGGGTGCATTCTTTAGATTATTTCTTGTATACTTTAGACAACGGTATTAATCAGGTACATACTCTAGGGCCAATTATATTTGATTGACTCTTAAAAGAATAATAATCAACATGAATAGATACTAATTAAGTAGACAACATTTAACCTTGTTAACAGACATGGATTGATTGACATCACCATTCGAATAGTTGTTGGAGCCACATGATTGATAATACTTTTTTAAATTGCCTTTGTACGTTTTAAGACCTTGAGCACTTTGGGGATAAAAAGGCTGCTTTAACTGACCAAAAGGCAGCTCATTCTTTCGACTGTCCGGTGCTCCTCTTGGAGACTGTTGACTGCGCTTGAATCAGCTCTTGCAATAAATCTTACTTTGCATATATCCACGGTGTATGGTCTGTTTGTAAAACAACGGTTGTGACGAACAAAAAGAAATTACAACTCAACAAGAGCATTGGCTTCCTCCTCTGTACTTCGGATATTGTGCAGCTGAACTCTGTTCCTCACATCTGTTTACTATTCTCTGGGAGCAACTCATACTCAGATCACTTTATTGAACTCCTATCATTTGCAAATGTCATCAGCGCCAAACTCTAGACAAGGTACTTTAAATACATCCACATCAAAAAATGGAACATCTGCTCTCATATTTGATGATATTCCTCTCTAAACACACTTCACACCCCTTAATTATTGCAAGAAGAAATGTATATTATTTAATGTCACAATCCAAATTGCACAGGGGCCACAATTTCTAAATTTGCAGATGAAATGTAGCTAACAATGAAGAAGATTGCAAGCAGCCTCAGGGGGATGTAGACAGATTTGTTGATTGGTAGAGAAATGACAAATGAAATTTTATGTGCCATACTCCTTGGCTTATGTCCTGCAACTCCGACCTCCTCAACATCCCTGGCTTATCCCTGACTCAACAAAACAGTATATAATCTAGCAGGACACACAGCTGTCCTTCCTATCCCACCTCCACCAAATCGCCAGCCTCCAATCATGCCTTAACACAAATACAGCTAAATCCCCCTTAAGACATCTAGAAGTTGCGAAACGTGCTATATCAAATGCAAGGATTATTAGGAGAAATGTTTTCATTCACATAAGGATATGGAATGCAAGCCGGAAGTACTGATTGAGGTAGAATCCATCTTGGCCTTCAAGTGAGCTACAGGGGTATGTGGTAAAGGTAGATAATGGGACTGAAAGGATTGCTCTTAAGGCACATGATGGGCTGAATGGCCTTCTTCTGTGTCATTTAGTTCCTGTGGTTCTAACCCTGAACAATTTGTTCCTCTGATAAGGTATCTGAAAATGTTATTTGGGTTTTATGTTCTCCATCACATTGAGTTTCTCACATTCTCCAAAAAGTCCTCTTGGCTCATTTCACAACACCAACCCAGAGCCTGCATAGCTTTAGTATGGGTGGTTTATCAGGAACAGACACTCCAAGCAGAGAACACTACGAATACATGTTTTGCTTGGTTTAAAATCAGAATAAATGTTGAATGGTTCTCATAACTCAACATTCAGAATGTCATGTCTCACCTCAGCTGAAAGCCAGGTTAATGGTTCGTTGAAATATCTGAAACAATGTGTTCCAGATGGCGACTGAATCCATTTGTTCGCACATTTAAATTTCTTGGTTACATCCATCATTTTGTTCTCTTCATCGAGAGCTGCAGCACAAATAACAGGGAGACAAAAAGGCTGAAATAACCACAACAGAAATAATAATAATAATAATAATAATCCTTGCATTTGATCCAGCGCCTTATCACATCTTCGGGATGTCTCAAAGCGCTTCACAGAATATACTGTAAAGTGAATTGACTTTATATTTTCTGGCTGCCAACAGGGTAGCCAATTACATACAGCAGTGTCCCACAAACAGTTGTGGATTCAGTGACCAAATTATTTTTATTTATTTTGAAGGAAGAGCAATCCGCCAATCGTCTAAGAACCGAGTTCCTACTTACTGCTAGCTAAGCTGAAGCATGTGGAGCAAGGAAACTTGCCCAATGTTTCATCCTGCCAGGAATCAAACCTAGGTCCTCTTGCTTGTGAGGTAAATATTCTAACCACTAAGCTACAGAACTCCACAATCACAAATATCTCATCATTTACTACTTTTGAGTTTAGCACAGCTCCCATCCTCTCCCAGCCTTCTCCTCTCTCCTCCTCTCCTAAAACTATTCACACATCCTCTGGGGCTTAGACACATCTTTTCATTCTATAATCTCTCACTATTGCTTTCTTTTGTCTAGCGCCATCAAAACCTCTGATCTTATCATCTCCTGTCCTCCACCTAAATTTTTCCCTTTCCCCACCCCCTTCTCTGTATCTCCTTATAAACTGCCATGTCTGCAGACTGACAATGCCTCGCTGATCACTCTGCTCCCAGTCTCAGCTTCGCATTTGGCTGCCGACCCTGACCCAAGCCACCTGCTCCCAAAATGCCCCCACTCCTACTTCCATCCTTCGTTACTCCCACACAGAACTTCTTCTCATACTACTCTCCCCGTCTTCTCTCCCTCCTGGACCCTCCCAGCCTCCCTCTGCTCCAGCCTGGCCATACTCCATTGGGCTCACCACAGCATTCACCGATGGTTGTCCCTGAGTAGTCACTCCTACTGCCCCATTGCCCACCTACTACACAAGGCCCACCACTCCTGACTCCCCCCTTCCCTCATCCACATCCTTCCAACTCTCCCCCCCCACCCCACAATCTATAACTACCTCCAGATTCTCCGCCGCCTGCGCCCCCATTCGCATTGACCTCCAAAATGACCGCTCCCTCTTAAATAAAGCTCTCGTAATCCATGACCCATTCCTGGACGAACAATCATATATTCTTGGGCTCATAAAAATCTGGCTATCCCCCAGTATTCCTGTCCCTCTTGCCAAAGATCCTTGCAACCTGGGTGGACAAGGAAGCCTGTGAGGAGGAAGGAAAACGTGATTCCAATATTAGGGGAAACAAACAGAAAGTGGTAGTAATTGGGGACTAGATTATCAGGCGGACAGATACACTTATCTGCAACCTTAACCAGGAGACCCGAAGGCTCTGTGGCCTTCTTGGGGCCGGGGTGAAGGACGTCTCAGCAGGGCTGGAGGAGAATCTAAAACATGAGGGCGAGGATCCATTGGTGGTGCTTCACATAGGTAGGGTTAGTTGTGATGATTTGAGGAGGGAGTTCAAGGAGCTGGGAACTAAATTGAAACAAAGAATATCAAAGGTAGTGATATCAGGATTGCTGCCTTTGACATGTGCAAATTGGTGCAGGAATAAGCAAATTAGAGAATTAAATGCATGGCTGAGGGAGTGGTGTGGAACGCAGGGGTTTCATTTTATGGGCCACTGGCACCAGTATTTGGGTAAAAGGGGTCTATTTCAAAAAGATGGGCTCCACTTAAATTGGGCTGGGACAAATGTCCTAGCAAACCGAATACATAGGGAGGTAAATAAAGCTTTAAACTAGTAAAGGGGGGTGGGGGGTGCGTGGGGGGGTGGAGTGAAATACAATTAGAAATAATCGCAAGCCAGCAATATCAAGAAAACTAAAGGTGGCAGAACAGAATAGCGAGAGAGATAACCAGAATAGGTCAAACAGGGGTAACAAGCTCAGTTAAGAAGATAGGGCATCAGAGAGTAGGGGAAATAGTAAGAAATTAAAATCGCTATATCCGAATGCTCGAAGCATTCGGAATAAGATAGATGAATTAAAAGCACAGATAAATACAAACAGATGTGATCTAGTAGCCATTACTGAGACATGTTTACAGGGAGATCTAGGGTGGAAGTTAAATATTCTGGGGTTTTCAGCTTATAGGAAGGATAGACAATGTGGAAAACGAGGTGGTGTGGGGTAGCCTTGTTAATAAAGGATGGAATAAAAATAGTAGAGAGGAAGGATTTCAAATCAGATAACCAGGATGTAGAGAAGGTAGAATTACGAAATAACAAGGGGCAGAAAACATTAGTGGGAATCGTTTATAGACTTCCAAACAGTGATCACAGCATAGTGCAGGATATTAATCAAGAAACTAGAGGAGCATGTAGCAAAGATAATACAGTAATAGTGGGTGATAATAATAATAATAATCCTTGCATTTGATATAGCGCTTTTCATGTCGGGAGGACGTCCCAAAGCGCTTCACAGAACACACTGTAATGTGAATTGACTGTATATTTGTGGGCGAACGCGGCAGCCAATTGCGCACAGCAATGTCCCACAAACAGTCGTAGATTGAAAATGACCAATTTGTTATTGTTTTGTTTTGGAGGGATTATTATTAGGCGTGTGGAGTATAAAACTTGCCCAAGGTTTTGCCCTACCTGGAATTGAACCCAGGTATCTCACTTGCAAGGCGAGTGCTCTAACCACTGAACTACAGGACTCCACAAGGGGTCCTCAATCTTCACATAGATTGGGAAAACCAAATCGGCAAAAGTAGGGTAGAGGAGGAGTTTATAGAATGTATGAGGGATAGCTTTCTGGAGCAGTATGCTGAGGAACCAACAAGGAGACAGGCCATCCTAGACCTTGTTTTGTGTAACGAAACAGGGCTAGTCGGTAATATAGATATTAAGGCTCCTCTAGGGCAGAGTGATCATAACATGATAGAATTTAGTATTAAGTTAGAGAGCGATGTAGTCAAATCCAAAGCAAGGGTCTTAAATTTAAATAAAGATAACTTTGCAGGTATGAGGGAAGAATTAGCTAAAATAGACTGGGGAATTAGATTAATGGATATGACAATAGACCAACAATGGCAAACATTTAAAGATGTAGTGCATAATTCTCAGCGGTCACATATTCCCTTGAGGAATAAGAGTACCACAGGGAAAGCAGTTCATCCGTGGCTAACTAGAGCAGTTAGAGAAAGTATAAAACTAAAAGAAAAGGCCTATAAAACTGTCAAAAAGAGTGGCAAACCTGAGGACTGGGAGTGTTTTAGGGACCAACAAAGGAAAACCAAAAAGCCCATTAAGAGTGAGAAAATGGATTATTAGGGCAAGCCAGCTAGGAACATTAAGACAGATTGTAAGAGATTTTATAAATACATTAAGAGGAATAGGCTAGCAAAAGTAAATGTGGGTCCATTACAGGCAGAGACAGGAGGAATTATAATGGGGGATAAGGATATGGCAGAGTCCCTAAATAAATACTTTGCTTCTGTCTTCACGTTAGAAGACACAAGAAGTTTACCAGAAATAGAGATGAACCAAGGGGCTAATGGTAGGGAGCAACTTAGGGAAATTTATATTAGTAAAGAGTTGGCGCTAGGGAAATTGTTGGCATTAAAAAGTGACAAGTCCCCTGGACCTGATGGTTTGCAACCTTGGGTTTTAAAAGAGATAGATCATGAGATAGTGGAGGCCTTGTGTCTGATTAGGAAGCAATTAGGAAGGCGAAAGGTATGTTAGCATTCATTATGAAAGGATTAGAGTATAAGGGTAGGGAAGTCTTGCTGCAACTGTATAGGACCCTGGTGAGACCACACTTGGAATACTGTGTCCAGTTTTGGTCTCCTCATTTAAGGAAGGATGTACTTGCCTTGGAGGGGGTGCAGTGTAGATTTACTAGGTTAGTACCAGGGATGAAGGGGTTGAGTTACGAGGATAGGCTGACTAATTTGGGTCTATATTCTCTAGAATATAGAAGAATTAGAGGGGATCTTATTGAAACCTACAAGATCATCAAAGGGCATGATAGAGTAGATAGTTGGAGATTGTTTCCCCTGGTTGGAGAAACTAAAACCAGGGGTCACAACCTTAAAATCAGACGCCAGCCCTTTCGCACTGAGTTGAGGAAGAACTTCTGAAGTGAAGAAGACACACCATCACGCCATCTTCCTCCACTGCCTCTACTTTCTTATCCACCTTAGTGGGATCGTAGTCACACGGTTCAACTACTTCAATACATTGTGGCAAATGTTTTTTCCACTTGCCCCTCCTCAGTCACTTGCCTGAAAACTTCATTCTTGACCCCCTATCCTCTTGGCAATGTCATCTGTAGACATGGGGCCAACTTCCACAAATGGCACCAACGTTTACTTGAACACCGTACTGAGGGACCAAGAAGGGGAGAAGCACACTCTGGTTGTTCTTGTTTCTCTTTGAGGACAGCAAGTTCCCAATGCAGGGTAAGCTTGTGACAAATAAGACCTGTGCGCAATCCATTCTCCTTTTGGTTCTGAGTTCCTGAGAATGCATTGGAAAGTCCCCCGACAGCACAGTTGTGAAATCCAGGATCAAACATTTTGTTGTAAACAGGGGTAGCAGTTGCAGTGAAGGAGGAATAGAGCGACAGCAGGTTCTGGCCTACAATGACCTGTTGCTGAGCACCCTGGAGGTGGAGGCGGCTTCATACGAGGCAGGTCTGTTTTCCAAATCCCCTTACATGAGAATCTGGATTAAGCAGCTGGTGGAGAACCTCAAGGTAGCTGGCATACCACAAGCTGTAAAGGTCTTTCCAGCACACCGAAGGCAGATGTATGTCTGTCAGATAAGGAAACTCTGCAGCTTGTGACGACAGCTGTTGGAAGGTAATACATGGGTCCAAGTTTGTGAACACATGTTTGTATTTCTAGTGCTTGGAATCCGCCTGATTTGTACACAGAAAGGTACACAGCTGCTGCTCAAGCACTGCATCTCCAACTGCTGGAACCATCA